CCCTGGCACTGTAAGGCAGCAATGCTAACCACTGCCACTCTCTGATCAGTGTTCTTTCTGGGATTATTGTATCTGTAGGAACCCTTTTGATTTTGACTTAGTTTGCAATTAGCCTCCAGACCTGGCTCCACAAACAGATGAAAGCTTTTATGGTCTGTTCTTTCCCTTTTACCACAAACTGTCCGAAAGTTTTGAAGTCATTCTCGGCTCTCAATTCCCAATTCCAAACCAAAATTGATAGAAGTAAACTGATGAAAAGTCACCAAGGGTTCTAAAACTGAATACCAGTGCAAACGCTTTGTGCTCTGTTGATGTAATTTGGTTGTGCTTTCATTGATCTCTAACATGGTAGTAATTAGTTTATCATCTTGCATGATATGCTCTGAGATGTACCGTTGAGTGTTATGACCCCAAAAAAGAAGACAGCCATGAAATTTGATACAGTTTCTGCTGATGTTTGAGTGATTGAAACCAGTGCTGTTAGTCCTCCTGCCACAAATATGGGGTTTCTTATTTCCATAGAGCTCTGCTGGTGATGCTTTGTTGGAAAAATTTGGATGTTTGATGCAAGAAGTTAAAATATCCGAGATATCTGAAATTTTGTTTGGGTGTTTCTTTAAAGAATGACTTGGGGTATTTTTGGACTCAAGATGCTGATTATACTGTCATTCTTTAGCATGTATGTAATAGATCTGCATCAGTCTGGGTTGATGAATATGGCAGATGATACTGTTATGTTTCATGTTGTCCAGCTTGCTCTTGAGCTGCAAACACCAGGCTTTCTGAGAGATTAATTGATGGAATTGTGTATTCTCGGAGCTCATGTGGTTTAGAAATTTCCTTTGGCATCAAATCTGTTTTGCTATAATTATTGCAAGTCCTGGATTGATTCACTGGGAGCATTTTTGCTGCTTCTGCTATGAATGGTAATGTGGTGTGTTTTTTTTTTGTAAATCATCACAATGCTGAGTTCCAAGCATGCTGGTAATCTTGTTGCTGGTCCATTTATGACCACCGCTTGAAATTCTTCATGGAGAATTGTAACAGTTGCCTTTCAATGTGAATTTACCAGTGCCAAGGATGAATGACTCATGCAGTTGGTTCTACTGTCATCGCTTGTATCATATATTTCCATTGATCCAAGTATACATTCTCCAGGATTCTGGCAAGTAGGATGTCTGCATGAGCTACTGTATTGACTTTGGTCTTGAGCATGTGTTTGCCAACTTTATTCAGAAAAATAGAAACTAGAAGCAAGAATAGTCCATTTGACCCTTTAACCCTGCTCCGTCATTCTATATGATTGTGGCTGATCCTCTGTTTCAATGTGGTATTCCCACTTTGTCCCTATATCCCTTAATGCCTTTAAAATCTAAAGATTTCTGTATCTCTGAATATATTCAATGACTTCCTCAACTCAGTGCTAAATGGCCTACCCTGTATTGAGACTGTAAAACCGTGGTTCTCAACCAGGGAAAACATCCTCCCTGCATCTAGTCTGTCCATCCCTGTTTAGACTTTTATACACTTAAATCATAACCTTTTTTATCGTACTAAACTGTAGTGAAAACAGGCCCAGTCAAATCAATCTGTCCTCGCAGGACAGTCCTGTAATCCTTGGTATCAACCTAGTGAACCTCTGCTGCATTCCCTGTATGACACATGTACCCTTCCTTTGGTAGGGAGCCAAAACTCCACAATACTGCAGGTGTGGTGTTACAAGGACCCTGTAAAACTGCAGTAAGATATCCCTACTTCTGAACTGAAATCCTCTTGCAATGAAGGTGATTATATCATTTGCCTTCTAATTTGCTTGCACCTGTCTGTCTGCTTTCATTGACCTAGGCTCACCCAGAGCCCTTTGTACATCCACATTTCCCAAAATAATCTCCATTTAAATAATACTATTACTATTTTTCATTCTGAAATGTATAACTTCACAATTAACCTCATTATCCTGCATCAATGTGTTTGCCCACTGTCACAATTTGTCCAAATCAGATTGAAGCTTTGTTGCATCATCCTCACAACTCTCCAACACGAATCTGGGTGGGATTGAAAGTTTGCAAATGGTTCCCTTGTGAATAGCTCGAGCCCAGCACTGATCCTTGCAGTACCCCACCAGTCACTGCCTGTCGCTCAGAAAAAGACCCATTTACTCCCACTCTGTTTCCTGTCTCAACCAATTCTCAATCCATACCAATGTATTACCCTCTCTATCCCACGTGCTTTGGTTTTGTCTACTATGTAGGTCCTTGTCAAAAGCCTTCTGATGAACCAAATGCACCCCATCAACTAGTTTTCCACTATCTATTTGGGCAGCACGGTGGCTCAGTGGTTAGCACTGCTGCCTCAGTGCCAGGCACCTGGGATCGAGTCCACCCTCGGGCGACTGTCTGTGTGGAGTTTGCACATTCTCCCCTTGTTGGCGTGGGTTTCCTCCCACAGTCCAAAGATGTGTAGGCTAGGTAGATTGGCCATGCTAAATTGCCCGTAGTGTTCAGGGATGTGTAGATTAGGTGGGTTATAGGGGGATGGGTCTGGGTGGGATGCTCGGAGTCGGTCTGGACTTGTTGGGCCGAAGGGCCTGATTCCACACTGTAGGGTTTCTATGATTCTATGATACTATTCTACTAATTACATTTTTTACAAAGCTCAAGTAGATGTTAAGTGTTCTGAGGAAGGGTCACCGGACCTGAAACGTTAACTGTTTTTTCCTTCACAGATGCTGCCAGACCTGCTGGGCTTTTCCAGCAATTTTGTTTTTGTTCCTGATTTGCAGCATCCGCAGTTCTTCCAGTTTTTATTTAGACGTTAAGCGTGGTTTGCCTTTCATAAACCCATGCTGGCTTTGTCCAATCTCCAATGTTTTCCAAATATTGTTATCAAATTCTTTATAATAGACGCTTCTTCTCTCTCACTATCGCTCTCACTCTTTCTCGCTGTCGTGCTCGTGCTCCAACCCTTTTTAAATAGTGGAGTTACATTTGCTACCCTACAACCTATAGAAGGTGCTCCACAGTGTATAGAATTTTAGAAGATGACAATCAATGCATCCGATATTTCAGGGCCATGTCCATAGTTGCCTTACTAATCCTGATTTTCAATTCTGTCCTCGCACTTGACCCCTGTTTCCATAATGGTTCTGGGAGGTTATTGTTGTCCTGTTGTGTTAAAACACAACAAAAATGTGTGTTCAATCCTTCTGCCATTTCTTTATTCCATTTTATAATTCTTCAGCTTCTGATTGTAAGGTTTTTATCTCTCTTTCTCTTTGCACATACATTAAAACTGATTGTAAAAGTTTTTATATTCGCTGCAATTTTACTCCCTCCTGATCAAATTTTTTTGTTCTCCTTAACTCAATTCTAAAATGTACCCAATCCTCAGCCTTGCTGCTTTTCCTGGCAATTTTGTGTCATCTTGGTGGAACTAATGCTATCCCTAGTTTCATTTATAAGCCCTAATTCAGTGACCTATCCTGTGTTTTTTATTTGTTTGCCAGGCAGGAATGAGTAACTGTCATAATTCATGTACACGTTCATAAAATATTAGCGTTTGCCTACCCATTCTTGACCCCTTTTTTAGTAAAATTCCTTATCCCATGCTTGGCAATTCATGCCTCATACCCTTGTAGCTCCCATTATTTAAATTCAGGGCCTTTGTTTCGGATTCAATGACTTCATTCTCCATCTTAAAGAAAAATTCTGTCATATTATGGCCGCTTTTCCCTAGGGGACCCGGCTCAATGGTTATTAATGAAACATCTCTTATTGTAGAGTACCCAGTCTAGAAGAATCTGTTGTATGGTTTGTTCCGTAATGTATTGGTCTAAAAAAATTGCACTCATTCCAGGAATTCCTCTTCAATAATATCATTTCTTGTTTGGTTTGTCCAATCTTCCTTTATTGCACGCGTCTCTGATTTCTTGCTGAATGCTTTCCCTTACATCTCCGCTACTGTTTGGAGGCCTGTTGGACAATCTCAAAAATGTTTTCTGTCCCTTGGGTATTTCTTATCTCTATTCACACACACTCAATATCATGATTTTTCCAAACCAGTACCCTTCCTCATTCTTGCATTGATTCCCTCTCTTGCTTGCAATGCTATCCTACTTATTTTCCCTATGTACCTGTCCTTCCAAAATAATGAATAGCCCCAGATGTTCAGTTCACATCCTTGGTCACCCTGCAGCCTTGTCTTCTTAATTCCAGCTATATCATAACTGTTATATCTTAAATTTGCCCTGCTAATTTATTTACCTTGTGGTGAATATGCCACAGGTTTTAGTTTTGGCTTTTTAACCTTGTTAGTCAATTTAGTTTTATTTTGTACTGTGATTACCATTTGTTTTTCTCCCATATTTTTGCACCTTCTAATTTTTGCTGCTCACCTGTTTTTTTGTTTCAATAGTTGTTTCTCCCTCCTCTGTCTTCCTGTTCAGGTTCCCACCCATCGCAGTTCTAACTTAAATTCTCCCCAACAATACTTGCAAACAGCACCTTCCCAAAGGTATTGGTCCAGGTTCTGCCTAAATGCAGTCCAGCTTGTTTGTACCAGTCCCCCCTTCCCCAGTACTGGTCCCAATGTTCCAGAATCCCTCCCTCTCTGCAGTATTTGTTATTTTGACTCTCTATAGCACATGGTACTGATATAATCCTTTTGAGGATGCTACTTTATAATTGATGTCCTAATTCCCTATATTCTGCTTATAGGATAAATATTGTATGTAAACATGGGATATAACAACCTCCGGGGGGTAACTTTCAGCTTCACTGGACCATCGTTACTTAACATTCTATTTCCGATCATTTTTCTACGCTAAAAAGAGTCTGAATAATATGATTTGTAGTAAATAGTCTTATGCCACAGTAAATTAAGGAATTCAAAACTACTGAAAATTTCGTAAGGTAATTTGAATTTCAAGTAGACTAGTTGAATTGTTGCATAGCTTTAAATGTATTTTCATGTGAATTGAAGAACTGCTTCACCATTTGCAGGTTGTAGATGGCAAAATCGTGGTCCTGTCAGCATACTGGGAGAAAAGACGGAACCAGTTATCTGAGCTACAGGAACAGCTCGAACAAATTCCAGCGCTACTAGTGGGCTTGGATGCCCTGACATCCAAGCTTGGTGAGTGCATTTATCTCTGCAGTTAAATTAGAAAGATGGTGGTAGAATACAGTAATTGCAGTTCTTCTTAGTGTGGTAATCTAGTCTGTGATATTGGATTTGAAACTTTTTGTAAGAATGCAAGTAAAATTATCTTGCAAAGAAAATTTGAAGGTTTAAAGCATAAACGTTTTACAGCTTAATTGTCATGGCTGCTATGTCAAACCAATTGAAAAGCAGTCTGTTGCTGTTTGTAAAACTAGTAACATTCCTGAATGTTACCATTTCTGGAAAGCTTAATAACAATTCAAACAGTTTATTGTAATGTGATTTATTGAAGGAAGAAGTGTTTTGCCTGGCTTTGCTGATTTGCCTATGAATGTTGTTGAATAATCTTTCTTTATAAGACAATACCATGAAACTTGAGGCCACCATAAATATTCCCGTTCCTAATCCTTTTGCCAATCTAAGTATAGCTTTTCACCATTTTGGAGCCTGTCTCTGGAGTCATGTTTACGCTGGTTTGAACAAAACGGTGAGGTCTTGGCTATTGATATAAACAGGCATATACCTTCATCACTTTTTTGTGGATGCTTCTCAAATCCAAAATATTATTTGATTATAAATAAATGTCCCCTCAGTAAAACGGTAACTTAAATTACTGCAAAAATGAAGTTAAGGTAAGGATGTTGAAGATAGTGGCTCAGGTTTAAGAAAATATTAATTGCATTTCCATTAGACGCCGAATCCAAGCAAGTGCAGCTCACCATATTATCATTTGTAGCCATGAATGGAATTTTACTAATATTGGATATTTGTTATGTAATATGCAATTACAGAATGGAAAAAAATTTACATTTTCTTACTTGTTGATGCCTCTTGGTTCTATAAACTGCAAAAATTGACCAGATAATTGGTTTTATGTATGTTTGTGTATTAAATTGGAATGGAAACACCATTTTGTAATTTGTCTCTGTGAGCAATTTGACCACTTTACCATTTCTCAAATTTTTGCATAATGTAACTTACTATTTCACAAGTGGTACCGTACCACTATGTTCTCAAGGGTAATTAGGGATGGGCAATAAATTCTGTCCTACCCAGTGATATGTTGTCATCATCTTTATAAAAATTAAGAATAAAACATGACTTCAGCTTGTTTATGCATTGGTTTAAACACGGCCTTCACTGAATTTCTCACCCTTTTGCTTAAGAAGTTCCCGATTGTAAATATAGCTCTGTATTGTGGTCTTGGTGCTAAGACACATTGTAAATCCAACCTGCAGCACAGTTGTCTTGAAGGCTGTTTATCTTGAACCAGTCAAAATGTTAAAGGAGGCTTGATGTCCAAGGGCATTTGTCTCATTAAACAAGCCCTTCTTGTTTTGATTCCTTCAGAATCAGAATAGACCTTTTTTTCACCTTGCACAATTCGAAACGTTAGCAAGTATGCTGGGCAGCTGTCTACTCTCTGCTGAGATGGTCCCAATACCTGGAGTAATTGGGTGGTAATTTATTGAACTTTTCCTGCGTGCAAGGCCTATGTCCCTGAATATACGCCGTGAGATTTTGAAATCTTGTGGAAACTGGAAAAGACGAGCAGCATTTTAGTTTCTTAATGGTCACAAACAAGCTTCTGGGCCCAGTTGATCATCAGTTAAACTTTCCATTATTACCTGGGTCCTTTGACTAACATCTTCAGGCTCAGTGCAGATCATCCAAAACTTTTAATTGGCCCTTCAGACAAATATGTTAATTTTAAGACCTATTCTACCATATTCTCTTGACGCTGAATGCCTATTTAATTACTTGTAGTTTCTTTTAGAACTTTAGTATTCTGTATTAACAGAACCTTTTTTTGTTAACTTCTTTCTTTCTGATAAATTTATTAGCGATATGTTAAGTATTATTAGGAATATATGCAGTCGATTGAGAACTGCCAGTTGGTAATGCAACTACAGATATTTCTAAATCTGTCAGTTAACATTTCGTTCTAGTTGTAGTTAACCTAAAGAGTTACTACAGACCATGCATGCTATAATCACTCTGGAACAATGTTGTATTGAACACTACTACTTCAAATTGTCTTTTTGAAAAAAAACATATTTTGTGCACAGCTGTTTAAAGAAGGTATTGGGAATGAGAATGAATTCTTAGCATGGTAAAGCACAATTTAAATGAGCCATCAAGCTACAATGACTACTTGTGTGATCTTCCTTGCTCTTTTTGCTCAAATGCATTTTATCTGGTTGTTGTACAGTTTCCACACACAAGTCGCATTGACTCTGTTCTCAAATTTGGAGGGCTTGAATTCATTTGGGGAGAGATCTTCTTTACTGTTTGATATAAACTTGTGCCAAAAAAGGACAGTTAAGTCAGACTAAGATTGCCAAAGATGATGTTTTTTTTGAAGGAGCGCTATCCAAATGATTTCTCCTCGTTTTATCCCTTCCAGCCAAGCACACTAATGTACATAAGTCCAATTGAATAGCATGGACGGATATATTCCATTTGTAGAGGTGATGCCAAAAGTAATTTATTTTAATTTTTCGGTTTGATCATTCAATGTTAACAAAAAAATGGAAATAATTGGCATGTTTGGCAGCATTGTGGGCATGGAAACAAAGTTAATGTTTCCGGTTGGTCTTTTGGTCAGTATTAGAAGTGGTAAGTGATGTAACAGTTTTTATGATCGAATCATATTACTGGCCTGATTTTGATGGGTTTTTTAATGGTGATTCTGCTTTCCCAATTATAACACTTATCTAGACATCTGTTTTCTTCCTATTCTTAGCCTATTACAATTTTTCTTCAATATTGTCCCTTTTGTTGTTCAGCCTCTTCTGCCTTCCATGCTACCAAAGACAAACTTTTCTCCTTTACCCCATATCTTCCACTCCATTTTCCGGCCTGACCAAATATGTTGTGCCTGCTGACACTCAGGAGCATGTACACTAGTAGTGATACAATTAAAATGTATTTTTAAGTGGTGGGTAGCTGACAAAAATCTTAAAATGAAAATAATTGAAAGTATACATTGGTTAATAGAAAGAGGGTTAAGAAAAGTAATTTTTAAAACGTTTTTTAAACATTGGCTTTTTCGCCATAACTTATGTTTCTCAGCATTCCCAGTTATTAGGCCAAGGGTCACTGACTTGAACTGCTAACTACGTTCCTTTCTCATTAGGTGCGGGCTGAGTATCTCCATCATTTTCTGTTTTTATTTTCAGTCTCATAATTTACTGTGTATACGCATGTAACAGTCAAATTTTTGATACCGGAGTTGTAGGCAAAACATTGAGGTCAACCTTGTACATAAATTTTCTGAGGGGCTCATTTCAACTAAAATGCACCCACATGGCATCCTCACCAGCCATTTATTCTGTGTATCGATGTGATCGATGGCAAATACGTCTGTTCCCTTTGTCTGCAGCTCCAGGAACTTTGGTGCAAAGTTTGAGCTGGATACCAAGCTGAAGGCACTGGGATGCATCAGGGAGCAGGAATGTTACTTGAATGTTTTAGCACAGGAGCTGGCCCCAACCCTGAGTTTAAGGCCTTATTTAGTCAGTAGTCACTGGAAGGCTGGTATGACTGTAAATGAAGGCAGGTATTGGGATTCAGGAGGTGGAGGAGCCTAAGACTTTCCAATTATCCCTCAGGCACTTTTAACTTGTTTGGATGAGTGAGGGCTGCAGGGTGACTGAGCTAACTGACTAGAGTATTGTACTGTCAGAAGCCATTCAAGTTAGGGGAGCCAAGAGGAATGTACTGGTAGTAGAGGGATAGGTACAGAGAGGGGGATTTCAACTGTTTTCTGTAGCAAAGAAAGAGTCCAAAAAATTCTGTTGCTTTCCCCATGTGTGGGTTCAGGACACTGGGGCTAGAGAGGAACTTGCGTTAGTCTGGGCAGTTGTCGATATTCGTGTAGCTACTAATGACATAGGTATGACAAGGAAAAATGTTTTGCATAGCATAAGGAGCTGCACACCAGATTATAAAACAGAACCACAAAGGTGGCAATATCTGGATTATCACCTGAGCCATGAGCAAATTGGCAATAGGCAAATAAAATTAGAGAAATGGGCATGGGGTTCAAAGACTATGGGAGAAGTAGTTCTGGTTTGAGGGGAACCGGCACCAGTATGGTGGAAATGAATCTGTACCATTGGAACGGTCCCCACAACCCATGCTGAGATCAGTCCTCTGGCAAGCTGCACTAGAGAGGTGAGTTTGAAACTCAACAGTGGAGGTAAGGGATCAAATTTGGAAGATGTCTCTATTCATTGATTTACTACAACTCGAGAGAAAGGAATTATATAGGAAACGAAAAACTGACTGGTAGGATGGGATGGAGAGTACACACTTCTAAATCAGTGGATAAGGTTAGAGGTTACAAAAATAATGAAGGACAAACTAAAGACTATCTAAATGCACGTAGCATTTAGAGCAAAACAGCTGAATTAATATTGTAAACAGCAGTAGTCGCCACAAAGTTACGACAGCAGAATGACATACAGTGAGCTTTTTAATTATCTGGCACATATAGGACCAAATATTCTGGATCATCAAGAGGTCTACATAATGTATAAACACACCCCAAGGAATAGAAATGTACTGCAGGAATATTATACTTTAACTACAGTCTAAATCACTTAGGGCAAAGTTGCATTACTAGTTAAATAAAACTTAACTAGCAGGGAGCCTTCTCACTTGCACCCTCAATTGACCACTTGGGCATTGCAATAGATTGCAGGATTTGAGGAGAAATTGACTTGAAATTGAATCAACTGTTGATATTTTGTATGGCCATTCAATTGAACAACAATTGAGGTAAGTAAACTAAAATATAATTGGACAGAATAATACAGTAAATTTTGCAGTATTTGAGGTATGTAATTTTTGCCTGTGTGTGTGTGCAGGTCATAAGGTGCTGGTCAAAACAAAGTTTGCCGTAGTTGGAGACCTGCATATTGGAAAAGTACATGACATTTAGGAAGGACTATAAGCTAAGAAAATGT